TAGAATTATTCGATTTTGATTGCATATTCAGCAAAATCATCTCAACCGTTTTCGCGTTATTCGGACGGAAATTTCAAAATTTGATTTTTTTTCTAACTAGGTTGCATGAGATCAATATATGTCATTTTTTAAATTCTCATTCCCATGAAGTTTTTGCTCCATAACGTCAACTACGTTGTGAACTAGTGTATGAATAGTTTCATTCATTTGACCGATAATTATGGAAGTTGAATTTACAATAAGCATCATGACATTCAATTCTTGAATGAAAAACTCAGATATGTTGATGAAAATTAGCCTCAATCTAATAATTGTGGGTAAATTTCAAAGTAATTTCATATATCCTCACCTGAGCATAATATATTTCTACAGATTTGAACAGAAACCGAGCAAATCTCGTCATTAGGAGAAAAACCATGATAATTTTCAAAACATGACAGTCTAAAATCGCTACATTATCGCGTAGAACAATTAATCTCGTGGATGGAATAGATGATATGGGGTATCAATTGGCAGATGTCGATGAGACTTTCAAATTGACATATGATTTATCCCCACAGGTCCTATCTACAGCCTCGATAAATGGTAAAAACTATAATTTAGCGCGTGACATAACGTAAAAAGTGGAAACTATCTGATAAAACTAACTGAAAATTTCATTTAATCGAATTGCTCTACACAATCTCGAAGAATAGTAAATGCTCTTCCAAATAAAATATAGATATCCCCGCCTAATCCATTTAGGTGGATCGGAAAATCCAACCAAAATTAATTTTTCAAGTGAAACATGAAAATTAAATTTTCGTCTAAAACTCTCATAAGTTGATGAAAAGTTGACAAAATTGGATAAATCAGATGTTATTTTGAAGCTTAATTAATATTTTGTACAATGAGTATACTACATGTATGGTTCATGCAAGAGGAAGAAGTAATTGAGAATAGAAACCAAAGAATAAAGCTTGGTGATGCTCACGGATATTTTTCTATATTTTGATATTGGATGAACAGAAAAATGGGAATTAGTCGGGAAGTTATCGGTTTGAACCTTAATAGGTCACACCCACTCCAGCCCACATACAATGGGAGCGAGCGAAGCGAGCGCCCAACAACCCAGTCCAATATTTTAGCTCATTTTTATCTGTTAGATCGAAATAAAACATGGCAAGTTGGAAAGAAATTATCACCTGCCAGGGGCAATTACGGATTGTAGTGAATAATACAAATCCATCACAGGATCTGCTATGTGACGGTAGTATGACCATCATTAACGGTCACATGAGAGGCGTTTATGGCAGCTGTAGGATTCGTGGTGGTGTTGGATTGGGAAGGTAACGAATCAACTACGCAAGGCAACGGTTGCAAACTAGTAATTAGTTTATTGTCGTGATATGAGTATGTACAGGATGAGTCGGTAGTATGAATGTATATACAGGTGAGGTGGAGATGTCCACCGAGTGGCGAGAGCCATACGACTACTAAACAGGGGCGATTGCGACACCTGGGACGTGCGTGTGTTCCTCAGGTGTGCGTGTATGAGAGCGGTAGGATACGCGTCTCAGTGTGGATGTAGCGAGCGGCTACATGACTCCCTGCTTTATTAAAAAACGTAGTTTTTTCTGTAATAAAAAAAAATAAAAAGAACAAGGCAAGATCAAGCATGAGTTGAAAAATGTTGTTGATGGAGGTGACTGCGGCACTAACTGCTGCTAGGCGTGGGCTGTTCTCCGAGTTGTTGTTGTTCCCGAATCCAAGTGTTGATTTGCAGGAAATACGCGTGAGATCCGCGAAGATGAGCGACAGGGCTTGTTGAAATGAATGACGAGATGAATCCCTGTGTGAATGCTCGTGTATGTGAAGGCAGGTGCGTAAGTCTCAACGATGTGTTTAGCGGAGATTAGCTCAGTGAGTCAGTGCGATGTTCTCAATGCTGCTATCGGAGTAATTTGGCATGAGGTTACTTTCTTCTCTCCCTCATGCGTGAACATCGCTGCGAACCTAGCGGGTGAGGTTTCCATCCTCGTTAGCCCGAGTGGTCGAGATGCGATGTAGGTGCGATGAGACTGCGGGTGAGGTTATCATCCTCGTCGGCCCGTGCCGGGCGTGCGGTGTCCATTGTCGCGGTGTATGCCTCGTACCAGCGGAGTACTCGATGAATCCTGGTGGTAGAGGTGAATGCTGCCGGTGTGATGTATGGACTATTTGTAGGAAGAGAGTAGCAAAGTCGGAATATTGACATCCGATGCACTCCCCGTATGTTGAACGGGAGAAACTCGACCGTTGATACGGCGCGTTTCAGACAATCACAAAATAATTGAAAGGAAATTATTATTAACGAAGATTAAATGCTAGATTATTTACAACAGTGGTTGCCCTCTGAATAAAGTCGTTAGAAGTCTTTATTGTAGCACTAACACAGCACAACGTTTATTGGGTGCTCCGCAATGTGTTAGCGGGTGCTAGAGAGACAACACTACACTCGGTACATGTGCACTGGGCCGCGGTAGTTAGCGAAGCGGGAATCACACACGCACTAATAAACTGAACCGCAGTGTCAGGCGACCAGTGTGTCTGATTTGCGTGCGTACTGAAGCTTTGCATGTGCAGCAAGTTGGAAAAGACGTCCGGAGAATCGATTTTCGCAGGACGCCATTTTCGCACAGAAGAACGACCACGTGGAGAAAATTGAATGAAGTATTTTTCTTCCACAGGGTATCACTGCACTGAGATTTATATTGTAACATGATAAAAATCATGTACTGTTCCTCGCCTGAACTGACCGCGGATCATGGGGGGGAAATTAGTCGTTTACCCCAGCGAGGCGTCGGATCACCCAGTGCCACAACTGTCACTTTATTTTTTTTTATTTTGACTATTTTCCTTCTGTCCATCATTCTATCGAACTCGGTCGATCGCGCTCACCGTGGATTACGTGAGCTCCGAGACGAGGGGAGTGGAGCGGAGCCTCGGGGAGAGCTACAAGACGGCGCGATATCTGAGGAGCAGCACACCGACGAGCACGCACACACCAAGTCTGGGAGACTCACACCACGTAGGACGCGAAAGACGATCGTAGCACATCAGCAGGCATCTCAGACCTCTACGTGCGAACCCCCACCACCTTACCGATGGATCGGCGGCACAAGGCCGTCCAGTAAAAAACCGATGTTACAGCATTGAGGGAGCATCGGATTATGTGGCTTCTGCTCCGCTCAACGCGGATCACATCCACCGACCGCGAGGCGCAAGTTCCAGTTTCTGGGCCTGAGGAATTGGGAATTAGGACCATTTTAAAATGCGAAAGTCCAAAATTGTCGAATCACTTGGATTCTTCGCGCTCATCACGTGATCGGGTGGGGGTAGGAGAAATTGAGAGGTTCCTCGGGGTGATGTAGGGCCTCGACGAACACTCTTCGCTGGGATTTATTTCAATAAGGTCGCTCTGCGCCATTTAAGTTTCTCTCGCTCTCCGAGCTATTTGACCGAATAAGGGTAAAGTACGTGGTGGTGTTGTGCCCCTTTGTTCCGGCTCTATTTTTCCTGACGTTGCCGTACTGAGGGTCCAGACGAGTCTGCCTGGTGTTCTCGTAAAATCACGGTGAGCGTCTTATTTTGTTATGAGTGCACGCGTCCTTCCAGTAGGGAATCCACTCCGGCGCCCATTTTGGGGCCGTTTAAGAATGTACTAGAGTCTGCTTGTGACGCGGCACTCTGTAGCCTCCAGCTACCTCTTAATTTGATTTTTTTCATTAGTTCCTCTACTTGAGTTTATTATCAATTTTTATTGTGGGGGAAAACTAGTCCTAACTCATCTGTTACGTCGACCTGTCCCAATAACTTTTGTGTCGTGGCTCTCGCGTCATCGTCGCTTGCGGGTGATCCTCGCGTCTTAGCCTCTCCCACGCACCTTTAAAGTTATTATTATTTATTTTTGTTAACTAGTATCACTAGGTTAATTACATTTTTTTTGGTTTGTATAGCGTCTTTGCTCGCGGGAGTCCTCTCCCGCACATGTAAGAGATTAGACTGAACTCAATGGATTAAAATTATATATTTTTTTTGTTTTGTAAAAGTTTGCATATTTTTGAGTTCCGCTCATTGTAGCCTGTTCCCACACGCCTCCGCGGTTATCTGAGCTAGTCGTGGAACGCGGCTCAACGGTATGACCTTGTCCTGTGGCGGTTAAAAGGACTGGCGCCCTTTTTGGCATTTTGTCTCCTCTCGTTATTCCCGTCGTTCTAATTCCGGGTCGAGAGAGTCCAAAAGGGTCGCTGAAAGTTCGTGAAGAACCACGCGTCTGAATCCCGCAGACGCGCTTGGAAAAATACCTCACAATATACACTGACGAGTTGCTGCGGCGCGGGGGTTTTTAGCGAACGCGTTTGGTGACCGAAACTATTTATTTAACACGCTGAACAAAGCTAGACTCTTCCCGGCTAAAGGCACGCGCACTCGTTTCACTTGTTGCACTCGCGCTTTCCTTTGCTGTTGAGTGAGAAACTGCCTCTCACACAGTTTCCCGGTATCAGAACCAATGTAGGATTCGAGGTGGTGTTGGATCGCGAAGGTAACGAATCAACTACGCGAGGCAACGGTTGCAAACTAGTAATTAGTTTATTGTCGTGATATGAGTATGTTAAATGGAGAACACTTCCTCATCCACTGTGACATCATTAGGGACCTGTGCTATCGACCTATTGTGACAGATTTCCTAACCTATTCCGTCACTCTATCATTACTATCTTCATTATCGTTTTTACGTTACCCTATATTATCACATTCAGATGTAACAATATACGAATTATTATAATCCAAATATTAGTTAATGATCCTAGATTCCCTGCCATAAATTACCAGGTTATGGGCCCAGGGGTGATATCTAGGGATTATTAAAGAGAAATGTTTTGGAATTTCTTAAAAACAAATTCAGCAAAATTAAGTGAAAACGTTCAGCCAAATTTTGAGGTTAGCCGCCTATGTGCAATAGTGCAGAAGACCCAAAGATGGAGGAAGAACGTGAAGAACAGAGGTACATAAAGTTACGAGGGGCAGAGAACCGGCCCGTATGGAGGTTCCAGATGAGAATCCAACTCATGGCAATTGAGGGGTACGGTATTGTCCAAGGGGAAAATCCGAAACCTGCGATTGTGACTGATCCACCCCCGACACCATCAGAGCAAGCTGCCTTCGCACTGAAGCTGAAGCAGTGGGAGAAAATAGAGGGAAAAGCACAACGCCTCATCGTAAACTGCCTGAACGAGACGACGATGCACCACGTGATGACCTGCACGTCTGCCAAGGAGATGTGGGATGCTCTGAACGAGGTCTACGCAAGCAAAACAGAGACTGCAGTCCACATGCTCCAGCAGGAGTGGTTCGTGCTATCCAAGGATCCCAGGGATGACATCGCAGAACACGTCTCCAAGGTACAGAGCGTCGCTCATAAACTCAAGCCTCTGGGTGAGACAGTTTCAGATTGCACGATTATGACAAAAATTCTGTTGACACCGCCACCCACCTTGAATCATTTTTATTCAGCCTGGGAGTCCACTGCCATGTCAGATCGAACACTGAGTAACCTGAAAGCAAGGTTGAGTGCGGAGGAGGCCAGGTTTGCGCATCAAGAGGCTCAGACCAACCCCAGTGGACTTATTACCAAGACAAAAGGTGCAAAAACTTAAACTCTAGCAGCAAAACAGGACGCGAGCAGCGGCGAAAAGTCACGTTGGAAGAAAAAGGGGCAAGGTCATGGGAAAAAGCCTGGAGAGTGCAATTATTGCCACAAACAAGGTCACTGGGAGTATGAGTGTCGCGAGAAACTGAAACACCTCTCCCAACACTACGAGGAGGACTCGAAGACGCCCAAAACCCATGGAGGAGCCCTGATGACTCACGTACTATCCACGTTACCCACATCGAACAGTTCAACTGAGGACTGGTATCTGGACTCAGCAGCGTCGAGTCACATGTTACCTAGAGAAGAGTGCTTCGTCAACTTGGAGCCCCTAGACTGCCCTGAACAAATCGTGATTGGTGATGGGAAAATCATCATAGGAGCTGGCAGAGGAAACATTAACGTTCTGGCCTTTGATGGAAAGGAATGGGTAGAGAAGCACATACATGACGTTCTGTTGGTGCCAGAGCTCAAATTCAACTTGTTTTCAACAGCAGCCGCAACTGACAAGGGTCTCGTATACGTAGCCACAAGCACAGGTGCTTGGTTCAAGAAAAATGGAGAGACAGTGGCAGTTGGAGAGCGTGAGGCCATGTCCATGAAGTTTAGGACGGTGTGCTCACAAGAAGCTGTGACATCAGGGGGCAAGCCAAGGGAGCCAAAAGCGCTGATATCTTCGCTCAAGATCTGGTAGAAGCGCCTTGCGCACCAGAACTTCCACCACATCACGAAGCTGCTCAGGAGAAAGGGCATAAAAACAGTGGGAGAGAAGGAATTTTGCAAACCGTGTGCAGAAGGCAAAATTCACCGTCTACCTCACCCGCCTATGAGAAACCAAACCAGTAGAGTTGGGCAAATAATACACGCTGACGCCTGCGGAAAGGTAGAGACAAAGTCCCTGGGAAGAGCAGAGTACTTCGTGTTGTTGAAGGACGACTATTCACACTGCAGGACGGTGTATTTCATGGCAGCAAAGAGTGAAGTTCCTGGGAACCTCCGACACTTCTTAATGAGAATGGAGAAAGAAACCGATGAGTCGGTGAAAATTTTCCGCACGGACAACGGATTGGAATTCATGAATGCGACGGGAAGGAAATCCTCGATGAAAGGGGGATTAAACACCAGAGATCGGTGGCCTACGTCCCTGAACAGAATGGACGCATTGAACGTGAGAATATGACAGTAATGGAGGCAGCACGGACGATGCTGGCAGCTACCCAACTGCCTAAGTACCTCTGAGCAGAGGCAATCAATGCTGCTGTGTTCATACTCAATCGAACAGGGACGAGCAGTGTGAAAGGAAAAACCCCATACGAGCTATAGCACAACAAGGAGCCAGACCTCAAGATGTTCAGAGGATTTGGGAGTGAAATGTTCATTCACACTCCTAAGCAGAAGAGACACGGCAAGTTCGGGACGAGGGCAACCAGGGGAATACTAGTCGGGTACGATGAGGATGTCAAGGGATACAGGGTATGGATACCTGACACCAGGAAGGTGGAAGTACACTGCCATGTAATATTCAACGAAGACAAACCCATTGAACCAACTGCAGAAAAACCAATACGATGGGGTTGGCCAATGGGTGATGACTCTGATGAAGGCGACACAGGTGACGAAACAAATCAGGTCAAGGAAGATGAACTGGCTGAGGATCAGATGGACATTTCTGAGGAAGACGATGACTTCATTGATGCCTCGCCAGTGGATGACTCAATCATCATCGATCTTGAGAAATACGAGATGACACAGAGAGAAAGCATCGGAGAAACCCCTGAAAGCCCCCAGAATCACCTCGGACCGGATCAAGACCAGGCTATGATAGCACTAATGGCGCATCAGGAGGAACCCCTCACTTATCAGGATGCAGAGAAGAGCAACGAGGCTTCCCAGTGGAAGACAGCAATAGCCGAGGAGCTGGAAGCCCTCGAGAAAAACCAGGCCTGATCTCTCGTGAAGAAACCCAAGGGAGCCAATGTCCTGAAAAATAGGTGGGTCTACAGCTTAAAGTATGACTAAGATGGATCCATTGGCAGATACAAAGCTCAACTTGTGGTGAAAGGTTGCCAGCAGAGGCCTGGAGTGGACTTCGGTGAGACTTACAGCCCTGTAGCCAGAATAGAGTCACTCAGGATGTGTTCTGCTCTGATGACAGCACAACGAATGCACTCAAGGCAATTCGATGTAAAAACTGCGTTTTTATATGGGAAGCTGAAAGAAGATGTCTACATGCAGCAGCCTGAGGGATATTCGGATGGGACAGATCGTGTTTGTAAATTCCAAAGAAGCCTCTATGGCTTGAGACAGGCCTCCAGGTGCTGGAACGAGAAGTTTATCAAGTGTTTGAAGAGGTTTGGTCTAGAGGCGACAGAGACTGACTCATGTGTTTTCACGAGCAGCAAACGAAACTTGATCCTTGCTATCCATGTTGATAATGGCTTAGTGATTGATAGAGATCCAAGAAAGATAGAGCAACTCATGAAGGACCTCAGTGAGGAGCTGGACATGAAGGTGACCCGAGTCAAAATTTTCCCCGGGTTTACGGCGTACTTCCAACTTTTTCAACCTACAATTCTTTGATGTTGAATTTTTCCGCCAAATTTTCACCGTCTTTTCAACCAAACTCAACGTACACTGGTACATGGACGTTGAAAGCCCGTCAACGTCTACTGAAAAATTCAACCTATTTTCAACGTTGATGACTTTTTTTGTGTTATAACTTACATTGGGCGTCCATTATCAGTGATTTCGAGAATGAATAATTTCACAGCAAAATGTCAAAAAACCTATTTCGGAATTATATTAATATCCATCAATAACTGTCTTCCAATTTTTTGTCATGACGTCATTCATCATCAAGATAATTAAATATTAATTTAAGCGGAGAAATTCAATTTGGAATTCAATTAGCTAATTTTTGAATTCCAAATACTTTAAACTGGAGTATTTTCCCAAGACTAATGTATGGATATTCCTATTATTCAATAGATTTTATCGATTGAAATAAAATAGTGTAAAATTATTTTATGGAATGTCTGCCCATTGGATTCGAGAATTGGAAAATTTTATGATTTGTTTTCTCTGTTTGTTGAGCATTAATAAGGGGGAAAGTTTGAAATGTTCCATGTTTTCTGTTACAAAAAAGAAAATTTGTCATTATTTTATTCCACTTTCTCAGGTGCACAAAAAAAATTGAAGTAATTGTCTAACACAATTCAAAGTATTTCCATTTTCTTACCTCGATTTGAGACAATAGATATCCTTGAAGTAGCTAATATTTGTTTCAATTTTGAATATTTTACGCCACAAAAATGTATTTGAAATATTCAATCACATCTTTATGTAAAAAAACAGAAAAAAAGTAATCAATGGAATTTTTATGTAATTTCATTGTATTTTATTGCACAATATAAACATTCTTTTACCAAGTCTGGCTCTTGTTTTGTAGTATATTTATTTCTATTTAATTTTTTTTTCAAATGACTACACGGTTAATCACGAAAACTTTATTGATTAAGAAAAAATTTTAATTGCTGACAAAAAATTGATAAGTGATTTCCAAAAATAAAATAGATTTTACTTTTTCCTAATCATGTGAAGGTATCCATTGACAGGTAATCCATTCACAGGTCTTCTATTTAATTGTTAGGGTTCAGAATTGGCAAGTTGAATTTCGATTTATCTTGATAATGAGCGATTCTAGGAGTAAATGTCAAAAAACAGTTTTTTTTTTGAAAATCTATTCAGCTAGAAAAAAAATCTTTTTGCTTTATCTCCTGAAATCACTTATTCCCACATAGATAGATCATTATGAGAAATATAGGATCTGGATGCAAAAACTTTTCACTCTGTTTTATACTCCATCATTCAAGCTCATAGCTATTTATTGGGAGCTCAATGTAAGATTGATCATCTATATTCATGTAAACACACACTGATACTATTTGGTCCAAGGGAAGTGCGATAATTTCATCCTGTCGATTGGTTTTGAGTAAGTGCACCAATGGCACATATTGCTCATCAATAGTGTCAGTACGTACTCCAAAGACACGATCATATCGCAATGTCCGTGTTATTGCATAATGCATTGGTAAACACAAACATTCATGTAAACAGTCACAATAAGGGGTGACTTTGATGAAGCAATGAATGGATCCTAATCTTTCTTCATCGTCGTGAATGTATTGAACATGAGAAGATTGAGTGTTTGAATCTCTCAAGTATGTTTCACAAATAATCAATTTATTTTGCTTCAAAAGATGATTGTATGTTTGTACTCTGCCCATCGGTATTCGAGATCGATTCATTGCTTCCAAAATCTGGACTGGAAGTTCTGGAAGGACTTTGGAATATGTTCCCACGCTGTAACAGCTGGTTGATATCTTCTCACAGATTTTCACGTGTTTCTTGCGGCGAAAACAATAATTTTTTATTGGACCTTCTGGGAGAAAATCAAGATGTCGCCTCATCATAATCAATTGTATGTGTGCCGTTGCTATTTGGGAATCTATGTGTCTCGTTCCATGTATAGCCTTCAGTAATTGACCATTCAAGTCTTCGTATGGGTAGCGTGAATAACCCAGTAGTGTAGTAATACGGGTTCTGGGGCAACGTTTTTGTCGTCGACCTGGTCGTTGGGGCCCAGTAGGGGGGTCAGATGAAAGTGGGTGGGTGGGTGGTTGATTAATTCGCGGGATCGCGGTTCAATTCGCGGTTTGATTCGCGGGGTCGCGGTTTAATTCGCGGGTCGATTCGCGGTTTGAGTAATTAATTCGCGATTTTTTCCCTCGAAGTGACGAAGGGGTTAATTAATTCGCGGTTTTTCCCTCGAAGTGATGAAAGGGTTAATTAATTCACGGTTTAATTCGCGGTTTGATTAATTAATCCCCGATTTTTTCCCTCGAAGTGATGAAAGGGTTAATTAATTCGCGCGGTCGCGGTTTAATTCGCGGTTTAATTCGCGTGGTTGCAATTTAATTCGCGGTTTAATTAATTAATTCGCGATTTTTTCCGTCAAAGTGATGAAAGGGTTATTTAATTCGCTGGTTAATCAATTTCATTCGCGGTTTTGCGTTACAAAGGACCTTCTCGGTGGAACTAGTCAATCCACCCCGCGAGGGGGTGAGTGAAGGGGTTAATTATTTCGCAACTGTAGAAATCATAGAAGGGGCTCCTCTTCTTCGTCAAACATTGACACCTGGCTCCACTTGACAGGTCTGAACTTGAGTTTTCCGGTACTTTCTCGTTTGCCACCCCCCTTCGTATGAAATTGTTGTTGATAACGATATCAATATGTAAATATTTATTTTAAAAAACATTTTCCTGTCACATGTCTGAACTTGAGTTTTCCGGTACTTTCCTGTTTGCCGCGCCCATTCGTGGGAAATCATTGTTAATAATGATATCACTATATAAACATTTATTTTTAAAAAACATTTTCCTGACACGTCTGAACTTGAGTTTTCCGGTACTTTCTCGTTTGCCGCCCCCCTTCATATGAAATTGTTGTTGATAACGATATCAATATATAAATATTTATTTTAAAAAGAAGGGCAGGAGTATGTATATATGCAAAGGATTTTTGCCTGAACTTAAGATTATCAGTCCTTTGATGATTACCGCTCGTAGAAACAAACGTTATTAATAATAATGTAAAAAATTATTTATTGAACAAAGAAAGGTTTAAGAGTGGGG